TGAACTGTAGCTGCCAAACCTTCATTATTTTTAAAATATTGCTCAACAATGAAAACGTGTTGTTCTTTTGTGTAGCCCTCCATTTTTAATAACCCTGAACTGTCAGCTGTCACGCTATCTTTTTTTTTCCATTGGAAACACTTTATGGCACAAATGGCGTAAAATTCAAATCTTGCGTGAATTTTGGGACACCCTTTTACCAAGACCTCTATAGAAAACCATTCCATAACTTACATTCAGCAACCTTAGATGTCTTTTCAACTTGTCTGTTCAATGTGTTCTTCACCTATAGCCATGGTTTGTTATGCTCCAACCTAGCTCTGTTAGGAACCACCTGATAATAGCAGAACCCAAAGAAGCACACAGGCCCAGAAATTGCTCTTTACCTGTATTTGAACAAGCTGCCTTGGAAAGAAACAAGGATTGGCTGAGGCTTAGGAAGGAAAGCCTTCCAGTGTGTGTGTTTTTCTGAGAGTACTGGCCTTCTAGAAACTCTGGATAATGACAATAATCAACACCAAGGAGTGATACTCAAAATATTTCACAACTGCTGTGGCACAAGCTCTGACCAATCAGAATGGACCTTATACCAGTGGACCTTATATCATCAGACTTGACCATATGTGATATTCGTAGAATAATGAACACTGTCTTAAGTCCTTTCACATATATTCTTTCAGTTGATCTTTACAACATCCCACAAGAAGATATCCATGTTTTAACAATAAGTAAAGTAAGGCTCAAAAAGGTTATGTGACTTGCTTTAAATTACCTGGGAGGTGGTGGAGCTGGAATCTGAATCCATCTGTCTGCATTTCAATTCTGCATTGTTCCCACCATGCCATAATTCTTCCTCCCTTCTTTGTCTGGATACATATGCACCCCATTATTATTGAATACTCCCTCAGCTTCAAGGGTAGGTTATCCAGTGTGGTGCCTAATGTGGGGATCTGGAGGAGGCGGCAGGTGGGCTAGGAGTGTTTCCTCATCTCAGATAACAAATGGAAGAACTGGAAGAGACCTTCAAGGTAATATAGTCCAAAGTTGTAACAAGGAGACTATACTCCTGAGAGGAGAAAGACAGTCTGGGCATGGTCTGCAGAACCAGAGAGGACTTTAAGAATCATTTAGGTTAGCCCTAGTGTTTCTCAGTGAAATCACAGGTTTGATTCCCAGTCAAGGACACATACGTGAGTTGCAGGTTCAATCCCCGGCAATGAATTTATGTCTCTCTCACATCGATGTTTCTCTCTCTCTCTCTCTCTCTCTCTCTCTCTCTCTCTCTCTCTCCCCCACCCCTTCTCTCCCTCACACTCTCTCTGAAAAGCAATGCAAAAAATATCCTCAGGTGAGAGTTTTTAAAAATGGAATCATTTAGTTTCACATCTTCCCCCTGTCACTCCCATTTTTCTCCCATTTTATAAATAAGAAAATGATGGACCAGAGAGAACTGACTGAATGGCAAAGAGAATTAACGGCAGAATAAGGGCTCAAATCCAGGATTCCTTATGGATTTGAGACATGGCTTATTCTATAATTCCATTCTGGTCTCTTAGACATTCCTCTCATATAACAAAACAGGCAAATCCATCTGTACTGTAAGAAGAAACTTTAAAAGTATTTTCTCCTTGCTCAGCATTAATTAGAAGGGAAGATTGCTGGAAAGTTCCTCATAGGAGGAGAAAAAGAAAGAGAAACATACTTCACAGAGCCTTCCACTTTCTAACATTTTGGAATTTTGAACCCATTTGAGCCTGTCTCATTTTTATTCCTCATCTGGAATTTTTCAAAAAGGCACTTCACATTGCAGTCAATTATTTGACATTTAATGTCACCTTTTGTAACAATCAGACCATTCCATTTTGCTTACCCGTGGAAGAATGCTGGCTTTTGGACAGTTTGCAGCTTTCTTCCATGATTTATTTCCCATTCCACCTTTTATATCTTGCTTTCATCCTCGAAGTATAAGAACCAGACTCAGGGATGATAAAGGAAAAGAGAGGAAAGGAGAAGGGATACAGATCCAAAGCCCCAGCCTTCAGCCAACTCCACAGTGTAGATCAAGCCCCCTGATCTACACCACAGCCTAAAAATTTTCATATGAAGGGAGTGGCAGGGGATCACAGGCAACTCCAGAAAAATGTAGAGTATGAATCTCCTTCTGGCTCTGGAGCCTGGAATCAAGTTCAGGTGGCCTTGGAAGTAATGTCTGAGTGTTCTGCCATTCACATTCACCTCTCTGAGCTTCAGTTTCCTCATGTAGAAAATAACAGCAAAGACTCTTGGTCAAGATGGTGGTGTAGATAAATGCGGTACTTGCCTCCTCCCACAACCACATCAAAATTAAAACTAAACTACAGAACAACCATCATTTAGAACCACCTATAATTGAGCTGAATGGAAGTCCTACAACTATGAAACTAAAGAAGAAGCCACATCAAGACTGGTAGTAGGGGTGGAGGCACAGAAAGGCTGGCCCCACACTCGTGTATGGCAGATAAAAATCAGGAGGGATATCTCAGTTTTTTAGGTCCTCCCTGAGGAGTTAGGGTTCACAGCCCTACACCAGGCCCCCAAACTCAGGATTCCAGTCACAGGAGGAGAAGTCCCCATAACTTCTGGCTGTTAAATCCAGCATGAATTGTGGCAGAGGGAGGCTGAAGCTACAGGAGTTCCAAGCAGTTCCTCTTCAAGGGCCTATGCACAAACTTAATCAGACTCACACCCTCTGAGCTCCAGCACTGGCCCAGCAGTTTCAAAGACACCAGAGACATATGGGGGGAACTGAAGTGTCTAGAATCAGGGAAAGAGCTGGAGGGGCAACTTTCTCCCATACTGAAGTGCTGGCAGAGGCCATTGTTTCTTTGATGAGCCCTTCCCTCACAGAACCAGCAAATGGGTGTCATATTTGTGATTCAATCAATCTAGTTCACACTGTTTTCCCCACCATGGTGATTCCCTGAGGCCCTTCCCCACCCAACTTTCAGGCCCACCCAAGCTGTTTCCAGTGGCTTTACCATAGGTATGGCCTGTCTTGGTTTAGACTTCAGATTTTCCTAAAATCTCTCAAACAAGCAGCATTTGGCCTCAGAAAGCTCCATACCTCTCACTAAGTGGCCCCAGGCACAGCACTAGCAGCAGCTGGCCTTGGTAAACAGCTTGGCCTCCCCTGGCCATCTCCAAGTCCAGCACAAGAAGCAGCCATCTGCAGATCACTTTATAGCTTATGCCTTGTGGCCTTAGGCAGAACACAGGCAGTGGCTGACTTTGGCCTGCACCTCCTGGGAAGCCCCAGAGCCAGTGCACCCAGTGGAAAGCTTCAGACAATGTCAAAGCACGACAACCCAAACACCTCCACAAGCAACACACTCAAGGGGTGGACACAGTGGTACCAGAGCCCTGTGTAAGTAAGTCTTACTCTGTGCGGTGAGCCCCTGCACAGATGATCCTAGTAAATCCTTCTCATTGACGTGCCAATAGCAATCAACAGAAACAATTACAACAGAACGGTGTATAGCCCACACAGGGGTGGGGGTGCACCTAAGTACCCAGTTGGGGTAATCAGGGAGGCTGTGTCACTGGACCATACAGGACACCTACAATACCAGGCCATGCTACCAAGCCTAGGATATGTAGCAGCTCTTCCTAATGCATAGAAACAAACACAGGGAGGCAGCCAAAATGAGGAGACAAAGAAACCTGGCCCAAATGAAAACAAAAAACAAAAAACACACACACAGAAGAAATCTCAACAAAAAGAACTAAACAAGATGGAGACAAGCAATCTACATGATGCAGAGTTCAAAACATTGGTTATAAGGATGCTCAGGAACTTGGTGAGGACCTTAACAACATAAAAAGAACCCGTCAGAAATGAAGGATACACTAACTGAAACAAAGGATAATTTAGAGGGAATAAACAGTAGAATAGGTGAAGCTAAGAATCAAATCATTGATTTCTAATATATGGAAGCAAAAAACACCCAATCAGAACAGCAAAAAGAAAAAATAATTTAAAAAAAAAGGACAAGGGAGAGGAATATGGCTACTGACTGGAAGGCAGACTGCAAGATAGTGTGAGAGGGAGAGAATGAAAGGAGAGTGTGTGGATGTATGGGGAGTGTATATTTGTGGGTGAGGGACAGCTATACTCCAAGGGACTGTTGGGGACTGCTGGACCTGGTTCTTCTGACCAGGCAGCCTCCACTGCTGCTGAAATCTCTCCCAGAGCAACCAGCTCTGCCGCGGAGACCACACCATCTTGAAGGGGAGAGTGGCTGTTATTGGAAACCTATACATCCCTGGAATCTACAACAACACCACCCAGGAAACAGCTACAAACCCAGGAACACCGTATCTATAGCAGTGCGAATACGTGAACTCGGAGGAGCTCTCCACCTTATTACGCAAAGGTCAGATTTTGCCTAGGAAAAGGAGAGAGAGAACTACAAAACCGGACACCCGGAGAAGAGACTTCATGGGGAGACAAAGAAACAAGCTGCATATGAAAGAAAAGGAAGCATCACCAGAAAAGGAAGTTATTGAAATGGAGGCAAGCAATATGTCAGAGAAAGAATTCCGAGAAATGGTCATAAGGTAGCTGAAAAGATTGGAAGACAAATTCAACAATATCTGTAAAAAACCAAGAGGAAATGAGGAAGAACCAAGAAGAAATGAAAAATGACATTGATGCTATAAGGACCTAATAGAAAGCATCAACAGTAGACTAGAAGAAGCAGAGGACCACATCAGTAAGCTAGAAGACAAAGTAGGAAAAAATACCCAAGCAGAGCAGCATCTAGAAAAAAACTTAAAAAACAGGAGGAGAGCCTAAGGGAACTTTGGGACAACACAAAACGAAACATCTGCATAATAGGGGTGCCAGAAGGAGAGGAAACTGAGCAAGGAATATAAAACCTGTTTGAAGAAATAATGACAGAAAACTTCACTGATATGGGGAAGAAAAAACGCACAAAAATCCAAGAAGCTCACAGAGTCCCAAACAAAATGAACCCCAAAAACCAACGCCAAGGCACATTATAATTAAATTGGCAAACATCAAGGACAAAGTAAGAATCTTAAAAACATCCAGAGAGAGACAGAAAGTTAACTACAAAGGATCCCCCATCAGACTGGCAACTGATTTCTAAACAGAAACACATCAGGCCAGAAGGGAATGGAATGAAATATACCAAGTCATGCAAAGGAAGGGTCTGAATTCAAGAATACTGTACCCAGCAAGGCTATCAATAAAAATTGAGGGTGAGATCAGGAGCTTCAAAGACAAAAAAGGACTAAGGGAGTTTATTACCACCAAACCAGCAATGCAAGAAATGCTAAAGGGTCTGCTTTAAAAAGAAGAAATAGGAAGCAAAGAAGGAACACAGGCAAAAAGAATAAAAATGGTAAAAAACGATTACCTATCGATAATAATTTTAAATGTAAATGGATTAAATGCCCCCAGAAAAGACATAGGGTAGCTGAGTGGATAAGAAAACATGAACCGCCCAAACCAGTTTTAAGTGTAATAGAGAAAATAAACCCTTGCTGCTGGATAGAGAAGCCGTATAGCCTCAGAGGCCAACCCCAAAACACTGCCACACAGAGGCTGAGCCACAAACTGACTCTTAGGTGAACACAAATTAAGGCAGTCTGGATCACAAATATGGCCTGCTTTAAAATCAGGACTGTGATTTACAACACGGAGGAACAGTGTATTGCAGGGAAATTCAACACTCTCCTGAATACCTGGCAGGACTAAGGCGAGCCAGGCTGAAGA